TGCGCGTTAAATATCGCATGCGATTTATCGTGCAGCCCTAGCCTATTTTCTATTTTAAAATATTTAAAAATTAATTAAAATTGTATAACATTTATTTCTGTTATGGCAAATTTTCAGCAGCCATTACTTCAGTCTTCAGTGTGACATGACCCTCAGAAATCATTGTAATATGTGGATTTGATGCTCAAGAAACATTTCATATTATTTTCAATGTTAAAAGCATTGTTCATAACAGTTGTTTTGGGGAAACTGTGATACATTTGTTTCAAAATTCTTTAATGAATAGAAAGTTCAAAAGAACAGTTTTTATTTGAAATAGGAAACTTTTGTGACGTTTTAAATGTCTTCACTGCCACTCTTGATCAATTTATTTCATCCTTGCTTAATACAAGTATGACTTTTAAAAAAAAGACTTACTGACCCCAAACTTTTTAGTGTAGAGACAATATATAAACTGTTGTATGATTTTATTCATTATTTTAAGCCACTGGACAGAAGGATTCCACATCAGGAGGAGAAAGTAGTGCACCAAATATAAGCACCCAGTCTGAGTCAAAAAGCAAAACGAAATCTTCCAGCCTTCGTAATGCAACAAAGTCTGCTTCCACAGCTCCACAGCCACGTATTGTAACCAAACAAACTGGACGAGGATCCACAAACTCCAAAAGAGGGCTAGTCAGGACTAGAGTTTTATCCAGTAATAAACAATCCAGAAGTGCCACTGCAACTTCTCCAAGTTTGAACGATAAAGCGGATTTGCGTCCACCTGACCAAACTGTATCAAGCTCTTCTTTGACAGAGGAAGGAGTTGGCATGGAGATAGATGAACCAGAAAATGAAACCTCTGAGAGCGTAAATATTCAGCTAGTTCCTCTGGAGAGCTTGCATGCAAACAAAACATTAAATGATGATAAAAGCAGTCAAGTTCCAATTTCAACATCGCAAACCACATCCACTAGTGAGACCTCAAATAATGCATCTGTGAATGAGCCTGGGAGAGTAACAGGAATGACCACGGGACAGAATGAGGATATGGGAACCTCTTTATCCATTCAAAGTGAGACTGTGCCCTCATTTTGCTTGCCTCAACCTGACACAGACACATCTTCTCCGCCCTCTTCAAACAAGACACCTTTAACTCCTTCCTGCATTCAAACTCAGTCCTGTATTCAAACTCAGTCCAACACTGTCAGAAGCAATCTCCCTGCATCAGGTGCTTCATCTACCACCACTACGCCATGCATTTCTGAAGCTCCGGCCAGGGAGCCTGATCCCAATAAGATTGTCTCTCTGAAAATCGTCATCAGTGATGAGCAGGAGGAGGTCTCAGCTGATGTGGCACTGAACCAGGCAGTTTCCAGCATCACCAGTGACCACATCCCCACCATCTTCCTGTCCTCCCCTGCCAAATCGCCTGCCAAGACTTTGCCTGCAACCTCTGCGGTCATAACACTAGAGGAAACAGCTCAGGCTGTGAGCTGCTTACAGGGGGCGGAGGGTGTCGGATCATTCAGAACACCTACAAGGAGCACGCAGAGTAGCGGACAGCCTGTGCTAGGACGTCCCGCAGGTCAGGAAACCGGCTTCATTCAGTTGTTGCAAGCTAATCCTACCTTTGGGCCTTCAAGCAGCTATATCGTTGTAACCAAACCGGCTGCTGCTGAGCAGCGGTCAAATGTTGTGCTGCTTCCAAGTAATGTGCCTCAAGGGACCGTGTCTTCGATGCCGCATATGGTAGTGACTCCACCTCGCCAGAGGACTGTGGTGTCCATGGGAGCAAATGTCTCTCAGACCTATTCGCCTGGTGAGTGAAGAGTTAGTGTGATTATATAAGACACTTTATACTTTGATTTGGGTGATATGTTTCTCTGTTTATGTTGAGGTACTCATTTGCAGACTTTGTCATCCTCAGGATTAAGGCTGCGTGTTTGAAATTCCTATTATTATTATT